CACTCAATAAGGCTTCTCACAGCGATCGGCGAGATGCGCTACTGTGCCGCGCCGAGCTGCCATGAATTGACATCGTCAATTAATACTGACCTTTGATTATATTACAACCTGTCAAGTCATTTGACATTTGAGCGCGCGCACATCTATATGCTATACCATGTACCATATTCTGGGAAAATTTTAAAATTTTAATCGTTAATTCAATAGACTGACGCGACACGCGCTATACTACTTTGTTACCAGTAATGCACGTTGTAGGTAGTGCGCCATCGAGAGTGTACCGCGCATACCTACTGTAGGAAGTTTTTTAGCGCTAATTCGGCCAGTTGCTCTAACCAGAGCCCTCTCGCTTGCAGTAGCGCGCGACGCGTAGGCACATGGCTATGTGAATTCGGCCAGCACAAAATTCTTGAAACAAATGCGTATTGAGTAACCTTCCCTTGATCCAATTTTAACAAAAATTGGTTAGCTTACTTATAGACTTACAAGGAAGCTGTCCAAAAAATGTAAAGCATATCCAACCATCAGACATTATATATTACAGCTAAAAGCAGCGTATTTTTTCCTATTTTGTCCCATTTTGATCACTATATCAACTCTGATATCCACCAAATTTTTCGGACAGTTGTGGAAGCCCTATTGGAAGGTTGTCACAAATTTTCAGAATGATCTTATTCAAGGAACTGAAGATATGGAAGAATAATACGACAAAAATCAACGAATTTCCTCAAATTATGCGATTTTTACACCTACTTTTGCTCCAAAAGCCGCGCACCATTAAATATGGTTCCTATGCGAAACTCACTGATCATTCCAAAAAGGTATGACAAGTTTGGTACTGTGAAAATTCTCACAGTCTCTAGATGACAGTTACCTGGGGACCCCAGGCTATTATGTTCATAAACATTAAAGATAATGGTGGAATGACAGGCTGAGCGCGGCCCAGTAAGAAGACAGTGGTACAAAAATTTTGAAAATCCGAGCAAGTTTACTTTTATCGTACACCCTCTATTAACTGATTGGCTGAAAATTTGACAAATATTGCAAAACGATTTTGTGTTATTTCAAAAATTTCGGTTAGAAATTTAGCATAAGCGTACATATAATAGTGTTAATATTCTATTTGACTCCTTAATAAAAACCAATCCTGCTTTATGACTGACAAATCTTATGCACCCACTCGAAAAACCATGAGATACCTTTCAAAAATATATGACAAAGCCAGCCCCAGCATACCCTGAAGTACATTGGACAAGACCACTATGGAAAATTCCACATAAAGTTTATCAAGTGGTCTTTGTCCGTCCATTCAAATATAGCATCAAATATAAGTTGCTGGGGCGAAATCGGGCGCTACCCCCTATTCTTTGAAGACTGCAAACTTGCAGTCTCCTTGAAAGCACTGAAAACGAACTACTCTGTGCTGCATTTCACGAGCAGATCATACTGGGCCTTCCTTGGTATACCAACATCTCAAAGCTTCTCACCAAATACAACTTCCTCCACTCATCTTCCTCAAAATCTAAGCTCTCCACCTAAATCAGTCATAATATGAGGGAAGAATTCGTGAATACCTGGAAATCTGCCAAGGTCTCCTCACCAAAACTAGAATTCTTTAATTTAATTAAACATGATTTCGAACCAGTGGCGTAACGTTGCTTGTTGGCGCCCCCCCCCCCCCCCCCCCCGGGGGAGCCTAATTCATCCGTTAGAATCGCAGAGTTAGCGGAGCTCATGATATCTCGCGACGTATGCTGCATGAACGGTGCAAGACTTGCGCCGTTTGTTTCAGCATCCATTTGCGAGTGCTTGCCCATCGAAAACATGATTAGTGATTGTGGATTTTATTGATATTACTGATTATCCATCATATTCAGTATTAATATTATCCATTATTTATTTATTGACATCCTTCAGTCTCCAAAACGAGGTGTGAAGGTAAATTAACTTTGAGCCTTGTTTTGGCGACTGCTTAATCGATGGGCAAGTAGGTATTTGTTTTTTAGCAGTGTTGAACATTGAAACAATTATAAAATGTTTATTTTTATCTTATATAACGTACAATATGAATGACATATGCTATAGTGACGTAACATATATAGTGCAAAGAATTAGTAACTTGCTAGATGTGATTTAAGTGCAATTGTAAATTGCAAAATGTTAACGTCGATTATTACTAACATTTATCTGAATTTAATACAAGTACATGTCACATATAAATTGGGTAGCTGAATGAAACTCAGAATTTTCCGTTATTAGCATTGCAGTGTCCGCACCCTGTACTGCGTTAACGACCGAAATTTTCCCAATATGCAATAATTATTTTGCTTCTAAAATTCTCTGATAATTAATAATATATCGTGACATGTAATTGTAAGATAACAAAACCTCGCGCGCACGGCCCGGCGCTTACATCTGCACCTGAGAATCTCTCAGCAATGTGTGGCTATCTGCGCGGCGGGCTGTGTATTGTGTATATAGCTGAATTTAAATTTAGATTTATTTTTAAATGTATAATAATATTAAATATGTATTGATTGTTTTGTGGTAAATAAAAATTTTGTTTTACTAAAATTTTGTTTTACTCAGGAAAGGGCTCAAACCTATTGAGGACGAAAGTCACGTATTAATTGACTGTTTGCTTTACTCCTCAGTTACTCCAACAAAACATCACTGACCTAGCCGGTCTGCTCTCCATCAAAACTCTAGATCCTACAAAATTTACTGCCACAGCAAGAGCAACCCATTCAATTCTCTCTGTGAACGAACAATATACAGCCTATTATAAGAGCCCAGATTTCCACCTAAATACTGGCAAGTGCATAATGCTATAGGACCTTAAAATAAATTGAACCATACAAACTCGATTTATTTTTTTTTGAAAACTATATAATTAAAAAATATATATATAACATTTCTAAATTATCCCTACACATTTGTAAATAATTAGAATTGTGTAACTTAAATTATTTCAGAATTACAACTATTGTGTACTCAATAAAGTAATTATCAGTTTTGTATCCTTGTATCCTTGTATCCTGGCGTTTATTTTTAAATTGTGGCTATGTTTTTGGACCAAATAAATCCAGTTGATGTTTTGATTGACAGTGTCAATTCTTCACTGCTTGTAGCAGACCAATAGAGCACATCATCTGGCGATCTGTGGTTGCCAGATGATGGCTCTCATGGAATAATGAGTATTGACTTATGAGAAAACTGTAAACAGAAACTTGAGCCTATAAATTTTGGGATATGTAGAGGTATGGTGCCTTCCACAAGCAATGCGACCGATTACAATAATAAAGCTTTACTGCCCAGGAAGAGACCTATAAGTGTAGGTTATTACACATAAGGTCATGTTATCCAGAACCGCAGCATTTGTTGATAGACGGGCCCTATTGTGCAGTGTGCCAACAATAATATGGTCAAGCATATAGTGACTGACTTACTTGACTTAAGGCGGCTTCAGTGTCCGAGTATTGATGCGCTGTCTCCATAAAACTCTATCCGCCATAAGTTCGCCCATTTCTCCAGTGTCGTTGAGACCCGTGTCAGCTCGTAGGCTGTCAACATAGGTCATGGCTGGTCCTCCCCTACTCCGCACCCCATGAGTTGGTTCCCAGAGTAGCAAGCGGTTTGCGACTAGTTCTGGGTCCCGGTGGATATGGCCTGCTAGTTGCATCCTGCGCTCTTGGATCTTCATGGTTGCTCTCGGTAGGTTTTTTTTTTTTTTTTTTAAGAGAGGCTGGGCCAAGATAGCCCACGAGAGGATAGCATTGAGATGCTCTGCCTACCTCTGGGGTGTGGCAACCTTGGGGAAGGTTGCCGGTGAAATCAGAGTGATTGGTGGAGGATGGTGTAAGATGTTATAATATGAGTCAAAATGATACGCTTAATGCCAGCTGGGTTTGGAAAAGTAAAACGAGACGAGACAGCATATGAAATAATACTTTAAGTCACCCCGGTCTGATCCAGCTCCTCCGGCACAATTAAGCGTTTGGTGCGGTTTGCGAAATTGACAATTGTGGTGATGTGTTGGTTGTCGAATATGTCATTGACAGAGAGGTAGTAGTCCTGGAAATATTGACCTCTAATTTGGGCAATAGCCGGACACTGTCCAAGAAAGTGTGAGACAGTTTCCTCTCCGTCGCCGCACATAGGACAAGCACTGGTGTTTGATTTGCAAATGGTGTGACGGTGTTTGTTTAAGCCGCAGTGACCCGTGATGAGGTGAACTGCAGTTCTGTAATCTTGTCTGTTTTTGCTGAGTGTAGTGTTGAGGTTTTTGATGATTTTGGCATGCTTGTGGCCGAGTGTCAGTTTGGTGTGTCTGGGACCGTCAGTTAACCAAGTTTCCTGATTCAGTCTGTTGACTTTGTTGTCGATTTGACGCTTGATGTAGGATTGAGGAATTGGACACTTCAAAGTGGATTCGCTGATTGTACCAGGCTTGGCCAGCTCATCTGCTTTTTCGTTCCCCCACAATCCGATGTGTGCTGCAATCCATCGTATCTCTAGCGTGTTGTTGGATCCGAGTGCATTAAGAGAGTCGTAACAGTCTCTTGTAGTTCTACTCCGCGTTGAAAGCGCAGAGATAGCTTGTATAGATGCTCGGTAGGTTGCCATAGACTTCTTTGTTGGTTTTTCGCTGCTTCCAATCCACATTAAGTGCCATCCTTAGCATTCTAGTGTAGCAGCCATCAATGCGTTTCTTCAATTGCTCTGTCAACGTCCACGTCTCAGAACCATAAAGAAGTATTGACTCCACAGTAGCAACAAATAGACGGATCTTTAGTCCTCTTCTAAGGTCAGACTTCCACATCTTCTTTAGCTTGTGGCAGGCTGCCCAAGCCTTAGCTTTTCTGACCCGCAGGTCCCTCTCTGTTGTTGCTATCCAAGCTCCAAGGTAAACAAAGTCTGTCACCTTTTCCAGCTGGTTTCCAGAACAGCTATTAAGACTGCTCGCCTCCTCTGTCATGTTCAGAGTCATGAACTTAGTTTTAGTGCCGTTCATGGCTAACACTCAGTGCTGCTTTCTCAAGCCTGTCCAGGAGTAGTTTTGCCCCTTCAATGGTATCAGTGATAAGGGCAACATCATCTGCAAACTCGACGTCTGCGATCTTCTCGGCACCAATCCTTCTACTCCGTGCAGGCCTGAGAGTGAACCCAGAGTCCGAGTCATCATCGTCTATAGTCACTGTCATGATATAGTCAATCATGATAATGAACAAGTACGGGGCAAGAGTGTCTCCTTGCAGTACTCCAGCCAGGATATCAAAAATTTCTGTTATACCATCGGCTGTAATTACATTAGCCTTTGTGCTCGTATAGATACCCTCAATGAGCCGCACTATGGCTTCTGGTATGCCATATGCTTTCAATATCTTCATGAGCAAACCTCTATGCACACTATCGAACGCCTTTTTGAAATCAATGAAAACCATGGTGGCCTTAAGATTTTTAGCTCTAGCACCCTCCATAATTCTTCGTAGAGCAAGGATGTGCGATGTTGTAGAGCGCCCAGGTCTAAAGCCATTCTGGTTGTCCCTTAAAACTTCCTCAAGACTTGGCTTCATCCTGTTCAGCAACATTTTGTTCAGAGTTTTACTGACTATCGATGTCAGAGATATTCCTCTGTAGTTGTCGGTCTTAGTGAGGTCCCCTTTCTTTGGCACAGGAACAATATTACTGAGCTTCCATTGATCGGGCATGAGACCATCACATAATGCATCGTTGCAGAACTTCAGGATGACGTCATCGATGTCCACCCTCTTCATCACTTCAGGTGAGATACCATCATCACCATAAGCTTTGCCTTCTACTATCTGCTTTTTGGCAAGACGTAGTTCCTCAATGGTGAACGGGCCATCCTCTATATTCAGTGGAGGGTGTATACTGTATATTCCTGATCGGAATACTATTGTCAGGGACTGTGGGTGGCTGTCCAAGTAACCCAGAGAAGTGCTTCCTCCAGTTCTCAAGACGTTCTGTTGAGCTGCCCCCTTCCACGAGTCCACAGCTGGGATTTGTCCTCCCTGAAATATCGTTGACAAGCTTCCAGCTTTCCTTGTTCTTACAACGATCAGCAGTATCCTCAACTTTCCTGATCTTTCCTTTCAGGATCTCCTCCTCTACCTCTTTGTAGCAGGCCTTTAACAAATCCTTTTTAGTGGCGACTTCCTCTCTCTTCTCCTCACAAGGCTCCTGATGGTATTGGTCCTTGGCCAAGAACAGTCCCCTCCTTGCACTGTCCACTCTTGGGTCACTTGAGGGGTCAATCTGCTTTTGTCGAGTCTTCTTTGGCAGAAGGCTCTTGTTTGCCGCCTCATTAGCAACCATAAGCTTCCCGTAGCTTTCAGTGGCCCCATCATCCTCCTCTACCAGGCCAGAGAATCTATTCCAAACTTCAATTGCATACTTTTTTTGAAGCTCACCATCCGACTTCAGGGCACTATAATCATAGTTAACTTTTTTCGGAGGCCTGTGTCCTTTCCTAAAGCTAACTTTGATCTTACACACTACAACTCTGTGATCAGATCCCAACGACTGAAAAGTGTTGTAAACTTCAGTGTTCTTTAATGAGTTTTTCCACTTCCGCCGTATGAGGATATAATCAATCTGACCTTTGTTAAGTGTCCCATCGGATAAGAAGGTCCACCTCTTGTTGACCTTCTTTCTGAAGCGGATATTGGTAATTTCCATATCGCACTCCAGAGCAGTGTCTCTCAGTAGCTCTCCATTCCGATTGGTACGAGTATGAAAGTACCAACGGGAATCTTCTTCACTCTCCTTTCCAAGCCGGGCGTTCATATCTCCCTCTGTGATCAGCAGGTGGTGCGCTCGCGCTGGCACATCATTCATAGCCTGTCTAAGGGTGTTATGGAAATCCTCCGCTTCTTCAACTAGTGCTGCCTATAGTAGCTAAATATATCTTGCTGTTTATTTGAGATAAATGGTTATTTATGATTATATCAAGCACTGCCTGTTTTATCATCAAATAAGTATGGTCATGATATCCCTTGATATAACTAAAGCCCACACAATCATTCGTTTGAATCATCTGACTCTCCTTTAGAAAACAATATAGCCCCCTTGAAGGAAACATCAGCAATTTTTCTTTTATTAAACCAGAGTTGCTTGAATACAATTTTCAAGCCATCTTAAAATTCAATTCTAAGTTAGTAAAGATTTAAAGTTTAATCATATAATTTAACAATAACATTCCTTTCAGCTATGAGCGAAATATGGCTTGCTGCACATGCTGACCCTGTGGCAAATATCCACACTTTTCAGTCATGCATGACTCTTTCTAATGTTTATGGACAAACCAACCATCAATGTGTTATTGCTGATAATGGGGATCTCTCTTGGCCTCCCAAACTGAAGGTTTTTTCCTGCATTTTATCACCCTAATTCTAAATCATTGTCAGAACTCATGATTAATTTAGAATTAGAATTAGATTTAATTATTTGTATAGCAAGACAACAACAAATTGTAGTAAGAAGATAAATCAAGCTTTTATTTGCTGGCAGTACTAATTTTATCTGATTTTCTGGAATAAATCTGGAACAATACATATAATAAACACTCCTCTTGCCCTTTTAAATGCGTAGTATACTGAAAAACATAGTAAAACCCCTAAGCTTTGTATGCTTATTTGTGCAAGGGTTTGAGCTGACAGTACTACTACTGCACAAACGTGGCAGTTTGTATCTTCACCGCATGAAAGTGCTAGTCTCTTCACAAAAGCTACAGAAATATAAAACTCTGGTCACTTAACTGAGTTGTCCTTAGCATACACTTTCCTGTTGAAGTATCGTCCTCCCACCTTCTCAGTGCTTTTCTTGTTCAGTGCCTGTACAAGAAGCTCTGCTTGGTTTCATCTTCAACTGTGCAATTTAGACTCTAGACCAACAAAACTCAAGCAGGGTTATTCAAATGTCTTAATTTCATAACTTGAGCTAATGTCTTACTGACATTGCTGAAACTGGGGAGACTTGTCTAAATTAGACTTATCCTCACTATTTATTATCATTCTACTGAGTGCCATGGTATGGAGAATTTGAGTTCTCCTCAAATGATTCTCCCAAGATTTTGCTTAAAAATAAAGATGTTTGGCTTTTTCTTCAGAGAGGCTTTTCTGCTGTTTCCTTGACCGAAATGTCGCGGTTTTGACTGAATTTTTGACCAGTGACCAATCAGTTAAGTCGGTGAGAGTGACACAAGTCACCATCAAGGTAAACATTTTGCAAATTTCCTGCCGGTATAGTAGGAAAAGTTCTATTCCCAAAGAAAGCTTTGATAAACGGAAAATCGTCAAAATATAAAAAGATATTTTGGAAGATTTTTGAAGAGAAGCTATTCTGCCGTCTCCTTGACCGAAATTTTGCGGTTTTGACTGAATTTATTCAAATATATTTCGAATAAAACCTTTCTTGGACCGAAACTTTACAGTTTGGACGGAATTTCTCTTCACTGAACAATTATTTAGCTAATTATGGACGGCATATGAAAATACTGTCCCATTTTACCTTATTTTTAAAGATTGAAGATGAAATTTACCTAACCAAAATTTCACAGTTTTGACTGAATTCTTTCTTCAGTGACCAATTATTCATTTAACTATGGATCTCACACAATTGAGGTTCTGGAAGTCTTATTTCAGCCGTGGATAGCATCCCAGAGACATAATTACAAAATGGAAAATCACCTTGTCCCATTTCTGTCCCATTTCCAACCATCATCTTTCCTTAACCAAAATTTCACAGATTTTGAAATTTTCGTCCAGTGACCAATCAGTCAGTTAACTATAGATGGCATGAGACTTAATTGAGGTGCTGGAAGTTAAAAGGCTCCCCAAATTGAAAATAACCAAAATATACATATTATACAACCAGTAGTACATTTTCAACTTTCCTGGACCGAAACTTCACAGTTTGAACGGAATTTCTCCAGTTTACAATTAGTTATTTAACGACTGATGGCAGTAGATACGTCTAAACAAATAACTTGTTAAGAACCTTACAACGTCATGTTTACAACGTCATGTTTACTAACAATTGTTGAGATTCATTATTCAAAACAAACGAGCTGTAGCATGCAGTCACAGTAATTGATGTCCGATGTCTTTTGTCACGAGATCCATTTTGCAGTGTACAAGACAAATGCTTGCGAGATGTGCTAGCTAGTAAATTATACTTTCGTGAGAATAAGTGTGACCTTAAGATTAAGTTAATCAGTCTATCTAAAGTTCATTAACATTGATATTGAAGTGTTATTCTACTAAGTTCTATTATTTGGTCCTGGGAAATTGTTAATTTTATCAAAGGCTACTGAATAAGTTTATCTAAATACTCTACCAAAGATATAAAAAGATCAATATTAATTTTCTTATTCGTCCTTGCTTTATACCATATAATACAAGACACCAGAGAAGGGCGAAGGCTGTACATTTCAGTATATGGTCACAAGTCGATATCCCAATCATTGACATTCAATGTTAATAATATGTTGCAATCTTGTACCATTTCAGGTGTACAACGGAACAACCCTGTCTTACGATGGCAACATCGTGGAAACCCCTACTGCAATAGTATCATTTCATGTTGACACAACAGAGCCTCGAATACCTGCTATCGCTATGGCTGCTGGTCCCTACATCTACGTATACAAGAACATTAGGCCTTACTTCAAGTTCACTGTCCCTTCCCTGGACATCAATCAGCTGGAGCAAGATCTATGGAACCAGGCCAAGGTAATTACATGATGTTTTATTCATCGATTTGAGAATCCACTTATGGAAAAGTTCTTGAGTTCTAAGAGGTGTCTAGAAAGTAGAAAGTGACACGCTATAATTTTGTGTTATCTTGGTCGGCTGCAGCCTGCAAAATTAATGGTTAATATCGAGAACATATTTCAAGTTACATATTTTCAGGCGGATAAAATAGACGTGCAAATGCTGCACGACATGTTAGACAGTATAAAAAGTGATTCTGACTCTGTTCCCCTGACGCCCTTGTCCACAAAGTTCCTCCAGACAGCCCCACACCAACGCAGTCACTTTGTTTCTGTGTACCGTGAAAATCCTCTCAAACGACAAACCGTTATCACTGCTCTGGAAACGCTGAAAAAATCTCACCCAGACGACGATGCTATAAGCTGCCTTATCATAGGGACGGAAAACAAGGACATGTACATTCTTGACCCTGAGGCGTTTACCGTCCTTGTCAAGCAATCCCTTCCTTCTCAGCCAGTTTTCTTGAGATCTACTGGGCTGTACGATGTGGACTACAGGATTCTGGTTGCCTGCAGAAACGGGAACATTCTGGTGATGAAGAAAGGTGCAAATAGTCCTAAGTTTTGCATAACACTTAACAGTCATCCTATTGGTATTGAAAGGATCGGTAAGAACATAGTAATCGCAACAATGGATAAGAACTTGATGTGTTACAACAACAAGATAAAGAATCTGTGGAGCATTCCAATACCTCACAATATAACTTGTTTGGCTGGCATGGATTTTAAGGCTAAAACCTTTAAAGGTAAGATTGACAAAAATAATATTTGATTGTCCTGGTTTTTTTCTAGAGTATATTTATCACTTTCACCACGGATATCTTCAAGGATTGAGTATCACGCATGCATATATAAACTTGATCAGTTTTCATTATTTACAGGGGTCCTGGTAGGCATGGATAACAGCGAAGTACGAGTGTACAGGGATAAATTCCTGGTGGATACGATGACTGTACCTGACATACCTGCTATGATGCAGTTTGGTAAATACGATCGGGAGGAATCAACTCTGATCGTCATTACCAAATCAGGTGGTCTTCACATCTTTATCTTGAAAAGGAACGTTGATTTGTCTCAAGGGTTAGCCAGCGCAAGTATGGGACCGTCACCCAAGCAGTTTCAAAAACTAAATGTTCCTCGGAAAACTAAAACTTTTGTTGACCAAACGTTGAGGGAGCGTGAACATGGTGTTGCGATGCACCGACAGTTCCAGCACGATCTATACAGATTGCGCCTGACTACAGCACGCAACTTTGCTGAAGCGCTGCAAAAGAAGATGATGCCCATATCGAGCAGCAACTTTGCACCTCTGAAGCTGTCTGCCAATGTGCAAGGAATTGGCCCCATGTTCCGACTCACAATCGAAGTAATGAACACGTCAACAAGCCACCCTATCCTGGGGGCCTACGTTGTCTTGGTGACAAACGACACCCTCTACGTCCTAGAGAAGTGTTATATTAGCTTGCCTTTGCTAGTTCCCTCTCTTACATACACTGTTAACACTATGGTTAGGTGCACTTCTGATCAAGGAATCACCGATGCTATCAATGTTTTTGTTTACATTAAAGGAAAGTGTTCCCCAGTTCTCACTGCGATTATCGACATGCCCGCGAGTGAATCAATGATTGTTGTATAGAATATTGTTGACGTTTGACTGACAACAAATTTTCAGAAATCCTAATTATAAACCAACTGGATTGGTGTATAAATTGTGTATAATATTATGTATCCTTTGTGTACAGCCATGTATAGACATCTATTTAAGCTCACTTCTTTTTCCATTACATCAATGTTGATTATTGCTACTTGCTTCGTGTTATATCTGTTTTATGTTTAATTCTGTAATAATTTATTTTTGAAAAAGGAGAAATGAAACTATTATCATTCAGTCGTGAATATAACCCAGAGTGTATAATGTTTTTTACAAACTAATTGGCATGATAATTCCGGCGGTCGCAAGAAATAGTTGTCATTCTGTAGGGCGCAAACACGAAATTGTGTATTCCAGCATTTGTAAATTGTGCTTTTTGGCTGTTTTCTATGGAAACCAAGCCGCGCATTCGCCCGTTTTGAGGTGCCTGTGACGAAAATTTGGGCGCACGAGTTGACCACTCCACCCAAGAGGAATAATTGTACATGTATAAAAGAAGTTAGTCAACTATAAGCCCCCAATCGGAAAGACCATCCCTGTTTAATAGTCAGAAAGCTATTTCAAGTATACTCCCATAAGGGGTCGTTCGCGTTCACATAATACGTAATCACTTTTTGGACAATTTTTAACCCCCCTCCGTAATCAGTTTTACACATAGCTACTGTGTCAAAATTACACTAGCGTAATCATTTGGAAACCCCCCTTCCACCTCGGCTGATTACGTAATATCTGAACGACCCCTAACCAAAACAAGAAGCTTTATCGATTTTATCGAGGGCCCACAAAATGATGTTAATTACAAGCTTTTTTGGGCCACATTTACTGTTCTTATATGGTTTCCGAACTTAAATAAATGGTTTATTTTTCCGCTATTGGTCGCCACAGTAAGTTATCGGCAGCATATTCAATTATTCGTGATAACTATCGTTAAAGATAAAGAACCGGAAATATTGTGTTATCGCTCGTGTTCTAAATTTAGAAAGACCATCATGGCCCTGCAACGAATAAAATTGCAGCCTACCTGTTCGAAAATACATATATTTCTGTAACAACATTTCTTGTAATTTTCAACTCATTCCAATTTCCAAGAAATATGTTCATAAATAGATACCATATGCACGTGGATATTTCATGATAATTTCGGCATTCTGACAAAGGTAAAGCAGGGTGTCATAATGATTGGCGCGTCGAAAATACTCAGAAGTAAAGTTATGACCCTTTGAAAAATAATGATTTCATTACAAAATGCACGTGAAATTTCAAACACGCCAATAATTCTGACACCCTGCTGTTCCCCAAAATTTTGTAACTTCTTCAAATCTATTTAAACCCTTTCTCAAACCCTATATTTAAGAAATGTCTGGATAGAGTCTGAATTCATCATATTAAAGTTGAAATGGTATTATTAGATGTTTTGAATTGTGGATACAGTTATTGTGTCTCCAGAGATATTTTATGCCGGCTATTTAAATCTGGGTATCAATAAGAACACAGCGCCGTTTTGATAGACATGTAAATTAATTGGAATTCCATATAACAATGATAAGTTTGGTATTCAACCCTTAAAATGAATATTTTCCAAGGATGGAAAGTCGAGGAAGGTATTTCCTTCACTGCCTATTAGCAGGGTGCTTTGCTTCATCCGCTGGAATTTCCGCAAAACTGATTTCCTCCTCTTCTCTACCGACGCCCTTCATATCCCCGTATATCAGGACTGGACTGTGTGTCACCTCCCTGGTCATTTGTAACATCCTCATGTGGTTAAACTTCACAACTGCCATGCAAGGCATGCGGACGGTGACTGCCACATCTGCCACAACTACTGTCAACTTCCTCTTTTCCGGTTTTGCTGGGTGGATATTATTTGGAGAGATTTTGTCCCTCTCATGGTGGTTGGGAATCAGTTTTATAATCGCTGGCGTGCTATTGCTCAACTCAGATCAGATTGACGAAAAGCGTAAGACTGAGTAAACGGGAATTCTGGGCGGTTATTTTATTCTGTTGTTAGTTAGCGGTAGAGGAGTGTTTTACATAGTATAACAAATAATTAAACAGTTTCATTACATGGAAATAATGTGACATGTTGCGGAACATTCCACGGATATAATAAATAATTGACATTCTTTGACCTTGTTATCCGTGCAAAGATGAGTTCAGATTAAACTGAAACTTTGCCAAAGTATTTCATAATGCCGTAAATGCCGGAAAATGAATTGTTTTCCAAACTTTCGTTATTAACATTGCTATTAATATAAATCTGCTTTTTAACTTGAATCTTTAAACGAGTCCTTTTATGTTGTCACAGAAGAATGATGGATTAAGACTTAGTAATGGTAAATTACAGGACACACCAAAGTTCCGGAACTTAATATTATTGATTGAAACCCAAATTATGCCGAATTCCCGATCGTTCAGTCTTGAAGTGCGTGCTGGTCGTCAAAATACTGGGCGCAAAAAATTTCCGGAACTCCAAATCTAAAAACTGAAACCTAGATTATGCCAAATTCCCATCGACAAAGTCTTAAAGTGCATAAAAATACCAAAAATCTCAACGTGACAAATTTTACAAATACCTGTACCTAGCACACGTCATTCTGCTTATTTGGTTCACAGGTTTTTCCTAGACTCTGTGATAGGATATTAGCTTTCTGTACCAGTTTTCCGTTATCTTAGAATTTATTCTGCTTTTATTTTATTCCCACTCTCGATTCATCGCTAGCAGTCCGGTTAATTTAGTACCTTTAGCGGGTCTCATTTAATCATTAGGTTTTATTAAAGAACCTCTCACCCTCTAAGAAAGTTTTCACCGCTTCGTTCATTTTTAGCTTTTACTAAATTTTCTAACACGTGCATTATTAAGGAGTAAAATGCCTCTGCAGGCATTCCAGTTCGGTATATATTTTAACACTTCATGCACGGGTGCCATTCTGCTTATTTGGTTCACAGGTTTTTCCTAGACTCCGTGATAGGATATTAGCTTTCTGTACCAGTTTTCCGTTATCTTAGAATTTATTCTGCTTTTATTTTATTCCCACTCTCGATTCCTCGCTAGCAGTCCGGTTAATTTAGTACCTTTAGCGGGTCTCATTTAATCATTAGGTTTTATTAAAGAACCTCTCACCCTCTAAGAAAGTTTTCACCGCTTCGTTCATTTTTAGCTTTTACTAAATTTTCTAACACGTGCATTATTAAGGAGTAAAATGCCTCTGCAGGCATTCCAGTTCGGTATATATTTTAACACTTCATGCACGGGTGCCATTCTGCTTATTTGGTTCACAGGTTTTTCCTAGACTCCGTGATAGGATATTAGCTTTCTGTACCAGTTTTCCGTTATCTTAGAATTTATTCTGCTTTTATTTTATTCACACTCTCGATTCCTCGCTAGCAGTCCGGTTAATTTAGTACCTTTAGCGGGTTTAATTTTAATCATTAGGTCTTATTAAAGAACCTCTCACCCTCTAAGATAGTTTTCACCGCTTCGTTCATTTTTAGCTTTTACTAAATTTTCTAACACGTGCATTATTAAGGAGTAAAATGCCTCCGCAGGCATTCCAGTTCGGTATATATTTTAACACTTCATGCACGGGTGCCATTCTGCTTATTTGGTTCACAGGTTTTTCCTAGACTCCGTGATAGGATATTAGCTTTCTGTACCAGTTTTCCGTTATCTTAGAATTTATTCTGCTTTTATTTTATTCCCACTCTCGATTCCTCGCTAGCAGTCCGGTTAATTTAGTACCTTTAGCGGGTCTCATTTAATCATTAGGTTTTATTAAAGAACCTCTCACCCTCTAAGAAAGAAGATATTCCTTATTAGGTTCTATGTTATTAAATTTCCTTGTGTTTGAATACTGTCACTTTTTAACTGTTCTTAGTCATTGTTATTTTCGGCCGATTTCTGCAACGTTACACCGGGTCATCATTTATTATTTCTGGGATGGAGACGACTTATATCTACATTTAACCTGAAGCGTTTGCTTGTCTGACTTACTTCATTAGACTTTATTTCAACATACCGTGTCGTATCATGCTTTATCGTGTCTCCTTCTTCAGAGACAGGCTTCTTTCAGCATACCGTGTCGTATCATGCTTTATCGTCTCTCCTTCTTCAGAGACAGGCTTTCTTTCAACATACCGTGTCTTATCATGCTTTATCGTCTCTCCTTCTTCAGAGACAGGCTTTCTTTCAACATACCGTGTCGTATCATGCTTAATCGTCTCTCCTTCTTCAGAGACAGGCTTTCTTTCAACATACCATGTCGTATCACGTTTTATCGTCTCTCCTTCTTCAGAGACAGGCTTTCTTTTAGTATACCTCATACCATGTCGTATCAAGTTGTTTTTTTTCGTCTCTCCTTCTTCAGAGACTGGCTTTCTTTCAGCATACCGTGTCGTGTCAAGTTTTTATCGTCTCTCCAGCTCCTTCAGAGACAGGCTTTATTTCAACATACCATGTCGTATCATGTTTTAATGGTCTCTCCTTCAGAGACCGGCTTTCTTGCAGCATACCATGTCGTATCATGTTTTTATGGTCTCTCCTTCAGAGACCGGCTTTCTTGCAGCATACCATGTCGTATCAAGTTTTTATCGTCTCTCCTTCAGAGACAGGCTTTATTTCAACATACCATGTCGTATCATGTTTTTATGGTCTCTCCTTCAGAGACCGGCTTTCTTGCAGCATACCGTGTCGTCTCTCCTTCTTCAGAGATAGGCTTTATTTCAACATACCGTGTCGTATCATGCTTTATCGTGTCTCCTTCATCAGACAGAAAGGGAAAAGCGTGGGGTGCCCTACATAGCGTGGGGTGCCCTACATAGACTGAAGGATATCTGGAAATCCAAACTCTCAAAGAGCCTAAAGATTAGATTGTTCATAGCGGCTTGTGAATCAGTACTGCTCTACGGATCAGAAACCTGGACACTGACAAAGGCTCAAGAGAAAAGTTTGGACGGGACATACACAAAGATGTTGCGTATGGTGCTGGGTATCTCATGGAAGGACAAGGTCAGCAATATAACTTTGTATGGTAGCCTCCCAAGGCTGTCAAACAAGTTACGAAGCAGGAGATTAAAAATGGCGGGACACTGCATCCGACATCCTGAGCTACTTGCCAGTGATTTAGTCTTATGGGAACCTACGCACGGTAGAGCACAGCAAGGCCGACCAAGACAAAGCTACTTGTCTATGTTACTGAAGGAAGTTGGGACAAACTCTAAAGAGGAACTGCGAACCCTGATGCGGGACAGGGATATATGGAGGGGGTTTTCTGGCGTAGATCGGACTTAGCTCCGACATAGTAGTAGTAGTAGTAGTTCATCAGACACAGGCTTTCTTTCAACATACCGTGTCGTCTCTCCTTCTTCAGAGACATGCTTTATTTCAACATACCGTGTCGTATCTTGTTTTATTGTCTCTACTTCTTCAGAGACATTCACTATTTCAGTCAAGGTATTTATCCTTATATTTATTATTGGTTTTAAAAATTTTTAAATTCAAATTTGTATTTTATTTATCAGTTTAATTTGAAGCACACTTGGACAAATAGAGCCTCCCATTTTGTTATTATTATCTAGATAGGTGATAGGTACCATGGACACTGGATCTCAGCAACTTACAGAAGATACTACCTGTCATCATAATAGAGTCTAATGAACTCTACCCACAGGTTAGTCAGGCAGTGGATCACACTCTGATGACATCTCCTTTTGGAGATTTCGGACTCTCAGACTACCTATACTAGTTGAGTGTGTTCCATAACCTAGCACCCTGCCTAAACGTTCGGTACTCCTGGACCTATGTGGCAAGCCTGCTCCCTGAACAAAAAAAAAAAAAAAAAAAAAAACCTAGCACACGACCGGTAAAGAATCAAATAACCTCCGGTGTCCGTATCTAAATACTACTAAAATTTAACGTCCGATTTTGTCAGCATTCTAAGTAGGTAGATCTTACATCTATCACTTAGACCGCCCCTTATTATTATCTGTTTAATATCTCTTGAACGTTTGTATGCACTTCTGAAGAATATAATTCACGACTAGTCAATCCCCTAGGGAAGAGAAAAGAAAGGATCATTGTAAGAGTTCCATAATTCCACATTAGTCCGGATCACTGCTCCGGTATTTTCTCATATTAAATTCATTAAAAAAGTTAACAAGACAAAAGTGTCATCCATCAAACGAAACAATCTCACATCAAAATGTAATTCAATTCAACTTGTCATATCATTTAATCATTTTGTCTTTGCAGATCAAAATGTAATTAAATTTATCTTCTCATATACAAAAGTTTTGGCTAAACGCCGAAAGAAATCTTGAAATATTTCCTCACCTCACACCCTGGCCAGTGGCGGTTATCGTTAAATATTGTGATGGTACTATTTTTATAAGAAGGCAGTCAAGTTGCTACTCTGCCGGCATTTTTGCAGAGCTTTTGGTACATCCTACTGATTAGACTTGGCTGGAAATGTCCTGAGACTGGAGCCGGATGGCTATATTTTACATATAGCAAATTAGCACTCAATATGGGTAACTTCCTCGCTATGAGTTAAGCACGTTAAGTCACTTCACAGTTAATGAATTCCAGGGGAGGTTCACAAGATACTTCGTACTTCATGACTTCACCCAGCATTGAATAAAAATTATTATTAGTCCCACGTGGGTATAGACTTTGAAAGGAATCTCAGTTTTGGGCGGCGACCCTTTCGGTTATACGGTAGTGAGACACTCAATTAATATTACGTTGTATTTCGTCTCCAGGAGGCAAGCGCAGTCGCTCCGCTCAATTGAGTGCAGGGACTTAAGGAGATTCTCAACGGTGGCGGTATTGGTGAACTGCCATCTGTTAAGGAGGGATACTGTAGGGCTTATCAAGTAAGCATCGTCTCCTCCCACTCTAGCTGAAGTCGAAAGATTGGTGAGAAATTTGCATCTCTGAAACGTGATCTTCAAAGTAATAGGACCGCTACTGTCAGTCTTTGACTACCTTCAAATTCATTTGGTCCTTTATACCTACCACATTTGGTACGGCCTCCTCCAAACTTGCAGACAGTTACTGTAAATTTGTATTCTCACAAAAAAATCTAACCTTTGATCTCGTACTGGTAGCCCAACTCGTTGGCTAGCTCCCTCCAGCCTTTTCCACCTCGACAGGGCTGGTCCAGCATCCTTGCTAGCTCTAACTTTATCTCGGGGTTTATTTCGCTGACGTGTTCCAGTTCAGCCCCATCATCAAACAGTGAAACAACACTGATGTGGCCCCCCAACGGCTTCTGAAAAATAAGAATGTCGGGTCACTATTCCGGGTTTAACTGCCTGGACTGGAACGGAAAACCTTTGTTTTTGCCTTTGTAAGATCTGTCAAATACCAGTCGATGAAATAGTGCTACCTCGTTACTCGAACATATTTCAGATAATATCATTTAAGCCCTAATTGCCTTGGACTCTCAACACTAAAAGTTAAATGGAAAGCATTCTTTGTAGGTGTACCCTAGGGACAGGGGTATTGAGGAACGACAGGTCCGCAACGTGACCTCGGACGGGGGGATGCATGTTCGCTACTTACCCTCTGAAAAAGGAACTCCCATAAGGGCACCAGAATCCCCACCAGGCTGAGCGCAATAACGGTGGCGAAGAGGATAGGTGCCCATATGACGGTGTAACCGTTGTCTTGTAGCTGATAAAGAGGTGGTTCTGACACCAGGATGCTCACATTATACCCGGACATACCAGGACCATTTTACATCATGCCTGTGGAGATTATCAGGGTGATGTTTCTGTTAATTGTAAGCGCAAAGCGTGTCACTTTAATTCATTTTCACGAATCAAATTATAATTGTATGTCCTATCGTTTCAAGAAATTTCTCATTGCTCACCTCGGATGAAAAAGTACGTTTAGCTGTGGCTGACTTTATCTCACTAGGACACAATATGACATTTCTAAATGTGAACAAAACATTAACATAAGTTGATAAAACTGGAAAAACTCTCGGCAATGCTATTAATAAATTAATGACAGTCATGACCAGTTAGCTCTTCAAACTTTCAGCTTATATGGGAAGTGGCCAAATAATCGACTGCAGCCCCCTATCTATATTATATATAGGAAACAGTGCAGTATCCTGCAACGCAGCATGGATGACCAACCACATGGCAACAATAGTACATGATAATCACTACACAATAAATAGCGTTGGTTGCAATCTCATCATGATCCGAAGCGATTGAATTGTACGAATTATTCGACTGTCAGAGTATATATTTCCGGCCGGTGTGCCGATCAATTAATGTTGTACAATATTACATCTCTCGTTTTTCTCTCTCTCTCTCTCTCTCTCTCTCTCTCTCTCTCTCTCTCTCTCTCTCTCTCTCCCTCTCTCTCTCTCTCTCTCTCTCTCTCTCTCTCTCTCTCTCTCTCTCTCTCTCTCTCTCTCTGGAGGTTTCTTTGTTGCTATGTATTTCATTTCCTATATATCCAATATCCATCCTCTAGACTAATTATAATAAGACTGTCATTTTCTGTACACTGTCAGGTGCAGCAGGCTATAGCTCCGGCCTAGATATAATGGGTACCAATAATGTGGGGAGAAGGACGCTTTATTTAGGTCTGAGAGATGTAATTGGCCAGGTTTTAAACAACAAACTGGCAAAGAATGACTTTAAATCAAACATAGTTGGCAAGTGATGACAGGACTTTGACATAATACGATACGTGAATAAAATCAGGTACTCCTTTATAAAAGAGAAAATGTCTTAGCAGTTACTAATAGTAATTCAACAATTTATTACATTGCACTTTTATGGCATAATGGCAAGAATTTTGTAAATGTTTCGAGGTTTCCTCAAATTTGAGGTTCAAAGACAGCGATTTCAGCTGCGATCAAGAAGAGCATGGTTCACAAGCTACGGGAGGACAGAGCTGAGAGTCGCAACTTTGTAATGTAGAAGCGTCCATTTACGTACCCTCTGCAGCGGCAGCGCTACCAAACATGGACCTGGCAAAATTAGAAGCAAGTTTTAAAACTGACACACAATTAAAATCGGGCATTGAGACATTTAGATTGGGTACCACAAAGGCATAGTTACACGTCAAACGGGGGAGGCGTCAAGACCAGTCACCTGCCGGTCAAAAGAGCCAGGTAAGGATTGGCAGGTAATAAATATTGTACACGTCAATAGCCACTAGTCTGTATTATATATTGCAATATGCGTGTATTAATACACTGTACACTTATATCTTCTCATTAGCAGATTATACTCCCTACAATTGTCTAATGGCAACCCGTAAGGTCACGTGAGGTCAGAGCTGGGAGCTACTCAGAGCTGGGAGCCAACTGAACCCAATTGAACCTAGTTCCCACGCAGTTAACAGGCACCCAATCAGCTTAATTGGGTGACCTATCAGCTTAAATCCCAAAACGACAACTGAACCCAGGTCATATCACAACTGCACCCAAATTGAAAATACGACAACTGAACCCAAGGAAATACGACAACTGAACCCAACGATCGGATTTTCAGTGATATGACTGTGGTCATTATCATTATAGGATAGATCATGACCACACGAGCAGATAAGTCCGGATCTGCCAACCACTCCGAAGCACCAACCTCAACAGACCGAAATTATAGCACTAGAAACCAGGCAGCAGCTAAACTAGAACGGTATTTGGAAACCTGTTAAACTGTTAGTGATTTCTAGTGACGATTGGGTTCAGTTGTCGTTTCAAAGTTAATTAGGTAGTCTGATTGGGTTTATAATTATTTTCCCAAGCTACCCTGTCTAGGAAAAGTTCAAATTGGGTTCAGTTGTCCGGTAGCCGAGCTGGGAGCTACTCAGCCGACATGTTTTAAGGAAAATGCATTTTCCACTTCAGGGGAAATAAATGTTAAATCTTAATGTCAGTAAGTAATATTGTACAAATATGTGTAGACTGTACATATAATTCTTGTGTACCTAATTCGGCGATGTATCATGTACCAACGCAACAATTCAAGAAACAAGTCAAACAATTAATTATAAACTAGGTATGCAAATGACGAGATTATATTTAATAAGATTGACACTGCATTTGCTACACACAAATTAACGATCAAGTTCAAGCTCTAATTCAAATTATCAAGCACATTAACCGTGAGCTCCGTGCAGTAAAGCATGAATTATAATCTCAGTAGCGCTCGAACGCACGCGTTTTATATCATCACAAGCTTGAAATCATACCAAAATTTGACTAAAATAGACGTGATGAAACGGTGCCAATCGATAAGATATGCTAATGATCGGGAAGCAGCATCTGATAAAAGCTTCAGAGTAATTCAGTAATTGGCACAACACATCACAACACTACGAACTCCATGGAGAAAATGTACAGACTTTAAGTAGTACTAGTACTATAATATATACTCCCTGTATAATACTCCGAAATATAACTAGTAAACACAATGTACTAGTACTATATACTCCCTGTATAATACTCCGAACTATAACTAGAAAACACAATGTACTAGTACTATATACTCCCTGTATAATACTCCGAACTATAACTAGTAAACACAATGTACTAGTACTATATACTCCCTGTATAATACTCCGAACTATAACTAGTAAACACAATGTACGCGAGAGAGAATTACGTATGGGGTTAACACCATACGAAAAGTATGTTTGCTCTCGATGAAAGGCAAGTAGTCTGCCTTGCTGTAATGGTAGTAGTGTACCACGTACACTACAGGGAATGGGAAGCTGTCTAGAACATTATATACGAGACGGCCGCTGCTGGAGTCAACATATTAATATATAATATGTAGAGAGCATGATACGCACACAGTACAGAGCTCCAAATGTACAAGTAGAACTAGCAAGAGCGATCATTATTCCAAATATGGCATAGTTACCTACCCTAGCTGCAAATGAGGGAAGTGTGACGTGATGGCGTTGTTGTATGTTGTGTCAATTTGGTACTAAGTACTGTACTGTAATTAGAGCGTGTAGCTTGGGTATAGTATTATTTCTGCAGAAAAATCTGGAGTGAAGGCGACTAGGTAGAATTATAATAAATTGTGTAGATACTTTAATGAATCAACACTAATTAAGTAATTACATTCGATGATTAGACCATTTCCGGATTGTAGCTTCAATTTCTATGAAATCTCGTACTTCAAGAAGCTAAATTTACTGATATTCTACCAAAATTTTGTACAGAATATGGTCAAACGGGATAATGGATGTCTCGGACATTATAACATAACCATAAAATGACATTTTTACTAGTAGGTACACTTATGCTCCAATCGCTTAAAGCAGTTATGTAACCGTTCTGGAATTAACCAGATACGAAAAATTCAGATAGAATATTACGTAATAACGTAATGTTTAATCCATATTGTAAAGGCTGGAGGGATATCGACGACAGAAAAATTACCCCCTGTTCACTAACTGGCCAGCTCAACCTTTTACATTCTTGACATGGCAACGATTACGACACGTGTATCAACCACGTCACTCCTTCGAAGGAGTGAGGATTTACTGCTTTTCTCATAGACCAATCCTGTGCCATGAGACCGAGTTAGGGAAATGTTCACGGGAAAAAAAGGAGGTACGACACTCACAATGTAATGGAAACCTTATGGAGCCAGTGAGTCGCTGAACTCTTGAAAGTAAATGTTTTACTGTGTGTAAAAAGCTTTTCGGTAAAAACATTATTTTATTGTGAAACTAAGGTCGTAATTTCAATTTTTGTAGACTTTTAAAGTTAGAATAATACTGCGGTATTTGTATCAATTGGTCGTGATTAGTAGGTTTTGCCAATATGCCAATATGCCAAAAGATCAATCAAACAGTCGCTAATTTGAACAATGTCTCAAAGATATGAATTGGAATTGATTCATTTTCAGACTACTAGCTAAAGCCTTTAGACTATCTATTTCAAATTTCTTTCCAGATGAGAGAGCCCGAGAAAAGTTCTACTTCAGAAGACCGACGACGCTTAGCTTGTTAATGCTGCTTATCATTGACATTTGCTTTCTGGGTATAGTATGGCTGTTAAGTGTTAATTTTGTTGATTAGTATCTGACCGATATAAAATGCTTTTATTGAGACTAAGGATATATCAAGCTAGTTTAAGTACATTACTGAACCAAGATGAATTGATAATTAATGCATCCATTGTCAACAAAGTCGGCCTGCCAACGCCCCTGCCAAGTTATCACTTTCACACCCGATTCATTGAGGCATAATTTGCTTTTCTTGAATTTTCCTTTAATGCGAGTTTGTTTAATCAAACCGATTTTGAATATGATGTTGTTCAAGCCAAATCATATTAGTCTAGATAGAATTACAAAATATTCTTAATCATCTTCAGGACAGAATCTTAAAAGGAAATCCCGAAAAGAGGGCCACAATCTCTCATTACACATTAGTCGAAGGCGAGGTATCATCACTATTGATCGAAATGTTTAGAATTTTTCGGATAAATCGGGGGAAAAAACCTTGGAAAATTCTTTGCCATGGCGAGAGTGGTAAGACTAAGATTTTACACGCTGAAAATAGTTTTTGCCATTGATCACGAAAGACCTTTTTATTTTCTCCACAATGAGAATTAAACATACTTTGGAAGTCATCAGGTGGCAATGGTGATGACCCATGAGTAATGAACATAAAAAATGATAAAATGTCACAATACAATGTCTAAAATTTAGGAAATTGAAGCCTAAGAACATCTATAGACGATTTGGAACATAAATCATCATCTTTTATTAGCATCAAATTATCTGGCACGGTTCCATTACCGAGCGTCTTGGATATATATATACGTTCACTTCAGAACATCAAAGGATTCAGCATCTATCCAAGGGCCGCCAGAGCGTAATGATTTTTATAAAATACATTGACCAGAATTAATTAAATGTCGAGTCAAGAAATGACCCCGAAGAGGAAGTATATTAATGTAAAATAGATTGTCGTACCTCCTCAACCCGCTACTGCTTTGCAGTTATTCATTTGTTGGAACCGCCTTAACTGGCGGAAATTCATGGACACAGAAGTAGACAGTAGAATGACTTTGCGGCTCATATTAGGAACTTTTCAGAAAAGTTTCTCCTCGATACAGATCATTACTTCTCTAGCTCTAGATATTTACACGGTCGTATCTTTATAATATATTTTACACGATACGTTTTACAGTCATCTCTTTGCATTTGATGGAGCTTTGAGCTGAAATCATAATGCTAAACCCAGTGTAATTGTATCTGAAACTACCTGTTATACCGTATACTATAATACTGGGTAATATAACGTATGTTGTTGGGTTTGCTTGATAATATTTAATAGCTTTGCCCGGACCCCAGGTTTGAACCGGTAGTCGCCGTACACCTGTCATTCTGTCATAGTCGTATCACCGGTATTTGAGGATAAAAACTTAGTTCTAAAAATACCGATACTCTAAGTTAATGCAGCAGCAGCGCCTGGCCCTGTCGCTTGTCAACCAGCTCGTGCCATTAATACCGCATGCTAATCAACCAGCTGTTGGCAAATTTATTATCTTCCGTCGTCGAAAGTATCAAAAGTATTTCAGGCAGGTTCGTGATGTGCCTGAGCAACAGCCTCTGCCCTCTCTTTCGGTTGTGTGTTTGTTGTCTTGGAGCGTTCCGCTTGTTTGGGGCGGTTTTTGTTGTTGCTATGATATCTAGTGGCACACCCTATCAAGGCTATTATTCACACTAACTGTTATCCTAACTAGATATCCTACTGATAGTTGTTCACGGGACACTCACGTATATTTCATTGTTAATTATTAATCGTATTTACGTAGACAGCACTCTAAATAATAATATAGGCTATAAGGGGGAGGTCACTCTTCTATTTAAGTTTTTGGCGAATGTTTCGTGAATGAGTAAGGGGCTGTACCAGCTTTCCTGGGCGAACGTAACCTTAGATAATTCATTTTTATACAACGCCGACGGGCTGGAGCTATATTTAAACACTGATAAAATCTTAAATGAGATTACCTCTAATTGACGTAAAAAAAGTTTGCAACTCGTACGTACCGACAAAAGCTAGTGATCTGCTGAATATGTTGGGTACCTATATATTAGGATAACTAAATGTATATCAGCTTAATATCTATCTGTACAGACAACAATTTAATTAGACTTAACGAAGAATCTCGAAACATTTGGCAGCTTCAATCTAGATAGGGAGACAGTCTAAGCAGTTTCTATCAGTCACAAGCCTCCCCAAGTGTAGGTTAGTACCAGCTTACAGACACAATAGTGCTTCACACCCAAGCAGGCCCTTCCTCCCCCACTCTCCGTCTCCAGATGTGATATCCCTTTTCAGAACTTGTAACATATCCTATGTCTAGATGTACAGCTCTTTCGGGTCCGCATCACGTATTAACCGGCTTCTTCTTTTTAAGTTTCTATACTATCTTGTATTTTCCTTGTTTCTTCCTAGTTGTTAGTTTAATTAACCGTTATTTTTGCTGCTTTACTGCATTACTGGACCTGACGATAACTTATTTGCCAGGCTGCTGTAGTTAACTTGGGATAATATAATCGAAGTCCGACTAGGTCGGTCATAGTGTCCTAATACCTAGCCTTGCCAAGTTCGTCGCGGTGCTTGGGAAGGAAGGGAGGGAAGAATTTCCATGTGTAGTGAACCCTGGCCGGACATATCTCGTTAGTGCCTAGTACATTCCTACTGGAACATGCTTCACATGCCGGGGTGGCCGGGGTGTGTGCGAGATGTAGGGGTAAGTAAATACCTCCCAGCACCGCGTAGTAACATTAAGGAATCAGTAAAGTGAGGCCCCAAGGCATTCGGCTATTTCTGGGAAATACCGAGACAAAGAGATTGTCAGTATACTTGTTAAAAAACTCACATATCGAACTGGTCTTCGAGACCAACCCGTGGCCTGACATAGAATCCGGACCGATAAACCCCTTCATTTTAATGCCTACAGCACCAACTGTGTTTGTTCGAATTAGATATTTTTGAGACGCGCTTCAAAAGCCTGCAGCCGTCATACGAAGTTACCAACTCCATTTTGCCGAGCAGAGCCCGCCGACTGAACTGCTACATCGTCACCTGCGATGTCACTCTTAACAAATCCTTCGGGTGCATCGGTGCTGAAACGGTATTTCAACAATTTGGTTCATCATGTTTTGTCTCGCCACGTTAAACACCAACTTCATCAGCTGCTACACGGCATAAAAGCGGGTAGTAGGAGTTCGCTGTTTTTCGGGCAGATATTTGTGCAGGACATCCTCGCCACTCATTTGACACTGACAAGTTTCGGGAAACGCCTACCCAGTTCGAGGTCGTTTCCTGAGGGGGACTAAGTCACCTCCATAAATGGATCCTCCCTAAACGTTTGTTTTAAATCTATAAATGTTACAGAAGTATCCGTTTGATTCTTCTGTGAGGTGGGGTTGACTGTCCGAAGCCTTTGAGGTTTGCCCATTGATTCGGTCTATCATATATTTATATAGCATCATCCGGCTCGGATACCTTCTATTTCACCAATTCATGTTTCCATCCTGTGCAGACTTTGTAGCTATCAGGACTTCAGCTGACCGCATTGGATCATCAACTTTTAATTTTCCCTCCGTTTATTTTTCGACTGATGCATCAAAGAGGCTATTAGAGCTGCAATTTCCATCGGCTTGTAATGATCTGTTATCGAAAATAAAGCAAGCGTTGATTTATAAATTGTTAGGCCACTATCTATGAGATTGTATTTAAGGTTTATATCACAGGTTTGCCGACATGAGATTCCCAATGTTGCTTTACTTTCCATGGAACAGGTTGGAGAATTCTTTAAATAACTCAAAATCCAATATTGAGTCAGCAACAGTCCGAAAGTGTATATGCACTGTCAGCGTTTGGCTTCCTGGACATGATTTAGGTCACGTGCTATCTGCGCAGGTCAAGTAGAAACATAGCATTTAAGATGCGTGCGTCTCGTTTACGCGGGCCTAGTTGAGTTACCAGCGGATCACATGATTGCTCCTCCATCGTGGAATCGGCCCGTATTTCCATTGAAGCTTGAACTTCAAGTGATGCTGCCGCAGTAAGAATGCGAGTTTTGTGAGGGTTCCTAATTTTATAAGTAGTTGTGTACATATTTCGGGACAATTATCGCTGTTACCAGTATCACTGCTCGCTAATTCGTGAACAACAATTGTTTGAGTTTTCATTTCGTCTGAGTTACCATCCCTTGGCCCCTTAATTTGCCACCCTCACATACCCAACTAGGACTTTTAAAGCGCCAAGGTTACGTTATTGGCGTTAGCCTTGTCTTGGGAATTCAAGCTGCATTACTAAAGGCTTTGCTGAGCTCTTTTAAACTTTGTCTAACTGTTATAGTACCAAAAAGCAAATATAAACCTGTCGAGCCTATGGGCTTGGGCCCAGAAAATTTGTACTTGACGTTTCTCTTTCTCGCTTACCTTCTCATTATATTGGAATTTATTTGTAACTGCCAATCGAGTTGGGCAGGGCACGATGGATTTAACTAGTTAACTATATAGTTGATATTGTGCTGCCAGGAAATATGTTGTTGTTAACGGAACCCAGCCGAATTAAACCCGGCATATTGTTCTTCCAGGAAGTGACACCTTATTCGTTGTATCATACGAAAAATTGATAAGACGCCTTTCAATAGAGCGGAAAGAAGTCGCCGTAGTAACTTGGTTGCAATCTCGCTGGTCTCAATACAAATTATTCTCATTCAATTTTGTTGGTGCTTTCATTTTGTGCTGCATCTCTAAGTACTGTTTTACAAAAAGCTAGTTCGGCTATTTGTTATATCCATTTTCAATTGAGTTTATTGTGTTAGCTTGGTGATATTTATTGCTTAACAGTACACTTACCTCACATTTTCTAATCTAAAATAGTTTTTACGGCAGATGATCAGTAATGTTTTGGATTCTTAAGGTTTTGGCATTCATCTTCAGCTCGACTTCAGCTAGAAGTTTTCACAGGGTTTCAAACCGCGTGAACAACAACAATATCTTTGGTTAGTAATTTCATGATCTTATTTCTAAAGAATTTCGCATTCAAATCTATTATTACTAATAATTATATTACCTTATTTGATATTGGTAATGTCACAACTTTTAAACTAAAGTTAAGTTAAACTTGGTTAAACTTTTAGACATTTAAAATTTACATAGAACAAGATTGTAGTTTTAAAACAAGTGCAAAGCTTGACTTTAAATATCTGTTAACTCTCTCTCTTAATTTTCTTGTCTTTTTTTCTGTCTAATGTTTCTGGCGCCAAAATTGACCGGTAGAATTTCCCCTCTCTCCAAGTTACTGATTAGACAATCGATAACTTTAATAAAAACCGAAAGATTAACCGAATGATTAAGGGGGTGGGGTGAATGATTCACCATGAGTTTTTTGTGAAAATGTAATCTTGAGATCGCAGTAAAGTACTAAGTGCGTCACAATAGTGATCACACACTTATGATCGGTCCCTGAACGTCTAAACCTGACTAAATGACGGCAAAACGTACTCCAAATTTTGTTCTGAAAGTATTGAATTCTGAATACATGTACCCAAAACTAACCTCATGAGGACATGAGAAGCCAGGCACAGTCTCAATGTCTCATGAGCAAGATTAATTTTGTTTTTGGACAAAATGGCAAAGTTATGAGGATCATTATATTAGCATGAAATACTTAATCTGTCGAATATAATAGGGTATATCTTTCATCTTGAGGAGCATGTGATAGCAAAACCATCGAAAATGAACGATGTCGTTGAATGTTAGTTTCTGCTAACCTATCACAGTGGCTCCATTAAAAATATTTATACATAATAATATTATATATATGATCAAATAAAGGGCTGGCTGCTATCAGCTATGAGATTTGATACTTGCGCTAAGTTTCGGTTTGTGCAGTTTGGGCCTCAACTTAATTACATCCTTTAGGTCGATCACCAAACCTAATTTTTGTGGATATCATGTAAGTATTGAGGTAATTGAAAATCAGTTGAAATCCTCCCTAAATGCCTGAAAACTAATTTTTTTTAATTGATTTTAACGATGTGCCAAATAGATTTTCAATTTTCCCTATGAACCAATTTACAAAAGCACAGTTTGAGGTGAACAAAAGGTCACTGTCAAATCTTTTAATCTGTACAGTGGTGAGAGGATAAATACTACATGATCGATATGTCTTTGATGTGGTGCGCGTGCGGTCATGGATTTAAACTATTCTTGATTGACAGAATTAAAGCAATGAATTATTAGGGCGTCAAAATTTAATAAGTGACGTAAAATATAAGTGTTGTAACTAGTAACTGTATGGCTATTCGATAGCAAAAATAAGGTAATGGTATGTAGTAAAATTAAGTAACTCACAATAATTATTCTCAGATATAGAGGAAGACCCCCGTATCAAAGATTTGTGCAACAAATGTTGTAACCCAGGAGTTTACGAACATGGCAACGAGAAGTGTGGCCTGGCCATCAGCTCCCACAACTTTGCGTTTGAGCTGATGAAAAATCTAGCAGCTGGATCAAACGTCCCTGAAAACATAGTCATTTCTCCCTTCAGGTAAAGATCATGCTATTCTTTATGGCCTGTAAAGTGTCGTAATCGTTATGTTATAATTTCAGTTATAAAAACCATAAAGCATAGTGTTCCATTTGTTTGGATGAACTGGGCTTTCGAAAATTTAGAGAAATAAACCTCATGTCAGAAATTCTGGAAATTTATTTTCATTTATAGTTGTTAGAGTACCGAGGGATCAGTTTCAAATTCGTGTCTAGTTAAGATTTCGAGGATAACTTGAGATGATCTTTGCATCTCGGAAATGTGTTATTATAGATATCTAGATTGTCAAGTTGTCGATTCCACAGTTATTAGTTAAACTATCACATTCTTAACGAACTACCGCCATCAACGTATTATATTCTTTAACTGTACTGCAGTGCAATAAAATTCGATATCAACAAATGTTGTACTGAATAGAATTAGAATATATTGAAATTCACAAGTTATACCTCTAAAGTGCTGGCATGTTCACAACTAGTAAGTTTTTAGTACTGGTCAGTCGTTACATCTTAATAACCTGCCAATTTTTGAAGTGTTCAGGTTCTGTTAACGCTTTTCATACAGTTGTGTAATTTGTTTAAAATCTATTGAAATGTCAAAAAATATTTAGAAAGTCAGGAAATGTGTCATGGTTGAACTTCTGGTAACTTCAGCCACGGATTTAATTTGTAATTCTGAGCAGGATCGACGACCTGAAGCCTCCACCGAAAAACTTCACCCCCGAATTTTCATTGCAGTGACCTAGCTCCGAAATATCCAGTTCCACATCATCTTAGTAACTTATCAAGCCAATGATTCTGCAAACTTATGATAGAATCGTCATTTCTTTGCAGATGTCCCTCTTACGTCTCTCTACTCCTTTTTTCCAGTCTTTTGTCTGCAACCCCTACCCTTCCACTCAATGATCCTCTACACAGTTCTCCCTTTCCACGTTTTCTCTCCGACTACCTCAACAGTCAATTGATAGTCGTCTACCACTCACTCCCAGATAGACTGCGTTTACTAAGATGTACTCTCGTAGTCGTGAGGGGATGATCTGAGAAGGACGTTGTGGAGCCGAGTGTGCAAGGGGATGAGTGGAAGTGCGGTAGAAAAGCGTGAGGTTTGAGCATTTATCTCGCAAATGATCCGAAATGAATCATTGGTCTTGTAAACATGCTTTACCCAACAGTTACATAGTTAATGTTGTAAACCATTGGGGCCGGGCACAATTGTGTTAGGACGGACAATACACCTTCTTTGGATGGGAAATATTTATTCGTGAAAACAAAAATAAGCTATTTCGCTTTCACTGATCAACTCGTCTTTAAAAACCACGAATAATTTGCCAGAATAGTGTCGATGTAACGAACCCGGTATGTGGCAGTTAAGAAGTCCGGCTTTTAACAGAGTTAATAATCGGGCAGAGCCGCGACAAATGCTTACTTTTCTTTAATTATTATTGCCAACTATTATTTCACATTTCTGAGCTATCAAGAATTTTTATAAAGTTTCTGGGGGTTTTCGAGGTGGTCAAGATGGAAAATTGGTAATCCTGTGATATCTTCTTAATTTTAACGTTGAAACATACGGTTTATTTTTAGCTGACAGCTGGTATGACATTTTACAAGTTCATGGAGGGAGCTCTGAGGTAAATCGGTCGATGGTCTTTATTATGTCTTTACCTGCGTCATCCACACCAATTCTCAATTAAAATCTCAACTTTGTGCCGCGGGCAAATAATTTATTGGCAATTGAGTTCAAGGATAAAACTTTAAAGAAGAGTCGACAGACACCTGTGAGCCAATTATCCCCGGACATATACGGTAAAAACAAAGGTCCTGAAGTTGTTACTACATACTGCAAAGAGCCCTTTTCTTACTCACGAATTCACTTCGCACTTAATTAACCTTATAGCAAGATAATGATTACGATATCACGTCACCCATAATTTGTAATAAACTAATTTGTATCCCACGCCGACCCATCTCTAGGTTACATCACAGTCATATTGATATAGGAGGTAAAACTTAGCGGGGAACTGATATTATCACATAACTTAATGTGCCAGCATCACCGTTGGACGACTAAATTTAGATGTTACTAAGTACGCTTGAGCAGTAACAGTAGTTCCAAACCCTCCATGTTGCAGTGGTACGATTTTCAGTTAGCGGTTGGGATTGTGACCCGCTTCCGTTGTTGAGGCTGTAAAAATACAAGCGATAATGTAAAGAGGATGTAATTTACAGTGATCTCAACTGCAAACTTCTAATCGTACTACTACAAGGTGGTTGATGGGATTAAAAGAATATTGGAAAGGAACTTCCCAACATTATAGATTATGACGCAATCAAGATGGTCAAACTCTTTCTGTGTTCACGTCATAATATTTCAAATTTCTTTGTCTTAAACTGTTTAGTACCGTCTCTCCTAATATATGTAATAGTATTTCCTACTCTATATAATTTTCACGACGAATTAAATTTTAAGATCCGAGACATAATTAAGAAAAATAATGGAACTGTCTGTAAATTTAAAGTTTACAAGCTTTTGTCTTGACTCTAGAGATGTAAAAAAGTAAAAAAGTCTGCAAAATAAGTGACTACGTCAACGTACGAAAACAGAATGAGAAAACCTCACTAATGCCACCGTAATCTCCTCAGTGTGATGAACATCATGCTCCTACTGTCACTTGGAGCCAGCGGCAGGACCCGAGAGGAGATCAGAAGGACACTGCAATTCCCACTTTACTTTCCACCCGAGCACGACCATATCCTGATGAAGTGCGCTCTCATGCAGTACGATGGAGTCTCCCTTCAGGCTGCTAACGCGTGAGTTTTCCTTTTTGTTACTCTGCTTTTTATTTTTGTGATGATAGTTGTACAAGTGAAACATAGTGTTTAACCCCCTCTAAACTAATGTCGCACTGAATGAGCTTTCTATTTCTATTCCGAATTTTTCTTCTTCGTATAGTCGCTGGTTGTAGACTTTGTCTAACCGGTCCGTTAGCCCATTCGTTGGTTCCCAAGGGAACATTTCTTGCTAGCAGTCAATCAGTCAGCCATTAAGCTAATGAACTGTGAATTGGGTTTGCAAGACTCAAAGTGATTTTAAACTGGGCTTCTACTCCTCTCTGTACTAGTGATCCCAGTCGATGCTGCACGGTGTCGGGAATGAAGCCATCAACCGGGATTCGAGGGAAACCCGAATCCTGGAGAATCCTTTTTGAACAAAGATGCGGCAATGCGTGTCAAAATGACTAATCTTGATCTTTTTGATTGAACTCTGACTTTATTTCAGAGTGTTTTACGACAGCCAGAAGGCTACATCCAGACAATCTTTCGTGGAAGAAGCTGCCAAGTACTACAACGTCAGTGTGAAGGGTGTCCGATTTGAGGCTGATCCTTATCATGCTTGGCTTAACGTCTCAGATTTTATCAGGGAGAGCAGCCACGGCTTCCTGGACAACGTTTTGCAAGAAACGTCCATCTCAGAACTCCTCTTTGTCAACACCGTCTATTTCAATGGAACTTGGAGTTTCAAAGTACCCAGCAACGGCCAAAAAAGGATAACTTTCTACAGAAATTTCAGGTCGGTCGAGTTAGAGTGACGAATTTCTATATCTGAATATTTGCACCTTGAAATAGAATTATCACACATTAACCTGTTGAAAATACTAAATAGCTGAAATTTAGCACATGTCGTATCACACTTAGTTACTTGTTTTCATCAGCCATTTAATGAGTCCAACCACGCCCAGAACTGAACGTGAAGTTGAGGCCTTCGAAGTAACCACCCCCCTGAACGTGGGAGTGCTTGAAGACTACACCAGCTACGGCGACAAGATCCGGGTGGTTGAACTACCCTACTCTGACGAACAGTTCTCAATGTTCATTTTCAAATCAGGTAAGCTGAGCTGTCCCCTCGGCCCAGCTCCCTCCACCCTCCCCTACCTGCCACCCCACACAGTAGACCGTCAACACTGTTTTTCAGACTTTCAATCGCACCAGACCGTCAATAGTATTAGAGGACTGACAACACGTACTAGGCACCGACTCCCACTCGCCCTACCTATCACATACTCTCACGTGCAAAGGACAACTGCTCCTTCAGAAATCTTACTTTTTAACACCATTTTCCGGCACACAAGAGAGCTGGGTATAAATTGCAAAAATTGAATTGAAAAATAGAGCTGCCACGTAAACTGGGGCTTTGGACTAGGCTGGTGGCGCACAACCTTGTTAGCTTTTTAAATTGTCATTTTTAGACGGTGTTAAAATTTAATAACTTATTGTTCGAATATAACTGACATTCAAATTCCTCAGAAAAGGGGCAAATATCTCTGAATTTCATCGAAGAGACGATCAGAAGGTGGACAATCGGAGTCATTAAACACTATAAAATGGTCAAAACCATGGTGACAGTAACAGTACCCAAATTCACCATCGCCTATCAGGTAATAAAAAAGTTTTGATTTTAATTTTAATTTACCAGTATTAGACAATTTTTAAAGCCAGAAATTTGCATTAATATTGAAACTTAAAACTACTGTAGCGATATTATATTCAATTTCTTCAATATCAATTCGACATATAACTTGAAAATAATGCTTTTACATTTTTCAAAACGTTATATTATCAATTATTTAATTGAAATGCAGCCATATATTTCTATGGATATCAAAGCCACATTTTTGGTTCAAAAATGCAAGATCCATCCTCGACTAGGGACCGAAATTAGAATCTTGATCTATTTTTGTTGTCATTCTCTTATCATTTGTATCATGGTTTTAGTTTCTGAACCTAACCAAGGAATTTTTAGAACAGTCTTAGAGAAAAACCTTTCATACTATTCTATATTCTCAATCGGCCGAACAGTATTTTTTATTCATTTAAAAGTATTTCTCCCTCTAATAGTTTGCCAACTTAACCGAGAACTTTCCTCGTAGGCTGACGTGTCAGAAGCACTGAGTAACATGGGGATTAAGAAGTTGTTCTCAAGGGGAGGAGATAGCAATCCCGAATTGAATAACTTGTTCGAAGATGACCCCAAAATCTATGCGGACCGGCTCCTTCACAGTGCCAAGGTAGGAGTTTGTAATGATTCCCAAGGTACAGTTTTACAACTTACTATCTGATAGGGTAGGGGCCAATGCATCATACATTTTACATCCGGTATTCGAAGAATCCTTGACCCGCAGTAAAATTTGATCGATTGCGTGTCGTTTAAAAACTTTAAGAATTACAGTTACATTCCAATACCAAAGTCAAGCCTATGAAAGTAAGAAACCTTATCATGAAGTGACCTGCCTCTAGTCTTTTTGGCATTTTTCCTAAATCTGCAGATAGCCCCACCCAATTAAGTTAGACTTTAACGATATCACGATAATATTTATATTAATGGGAATTAAGGAAATATTTGCGGAGAATCACAAAATATTCCAACCTTGCTGACAAGTCTGCAAGGTAATATTTCGAGTTACTGACAAGTCCATCCCCTCAGATCATGGTAACGGAAGCGGGGACGGAAGCAGCAGCTTACTCTATAGCGAGTATATCCCGTGGGGGATACCTCAACACTATCACCTTCTCACATCCGTTCGTGTTCGTGATCTACGACAGCTGCAACAACCTGATACTGTTCCAGGGCCGAGTCGTGGACCCTCAATGAGACAAACCATAGCTAAGCTGGCAGTTTTGCAAACTGATCCAAGCTAGCTGCTCATCACAAATCAGGACTTCAAACTGCAAATCAGAACTGGCAATTCTAGGTGAACCGTGCCACGATGGACACACTAGAATGTAAGATGAAGATTGAAGAATCCCGCATTATCCTCAAGTTTAAAACTTGAAACTCAGAAATGAGACTCTGACCTATAAGAGGTTGTGGCTCAAACACAGCATTGCCAGGAACAATGGCTCACACAATGGCGCTAAGTTGGTAGCTGAAAATAGCGCTAAGACGTAAATACTGGCGCCATTGGATGATTACCATTTGGTGTTTTCGGGAAGATCGGTCGCCAGAATCTTTTCTCCTTTGGGCTCTTTTATCGATAATATCTTAGGACTCCGCGAGTCCCTCTAGAAAACGCTTGGCAACCTTCCGTGGAAACGCCCCTGGCAATCGGGCTAATGTTCGACATTTTAACTAATTTGTTAAGTTAAAACTTTATTTTGTCTCAAATGAGGTACCTTATTGTCCTTTTTCAGCAGGCCCTAAGAAAGGACACCCCGCCCTCATGAACTAACGCGATCGATATCTGGCAAATTACTAGGGCCCGCTAATCAACGCTTTTTCGAAACTATGAATTAAATTTAAGGCAATTTATGCAATTTTTTACAAATATTAAGGATAGGATTCAAGTTCAGAAATGCACATTTCGCGGTCTACACATATTTGAATAAAAGCCCTGTGCATTAAAAGGACTACATAAAACAATTCACCTAAACAAACGTTAGATAGAAATTGTACAATAAAGTTACTTACTCTATTGTATTCTCAGTAGGTTTGGCTGGGATCGCATCTGGACAACAGTATCAAGTACGTCCTCCAATTACTCCTGGCTTAGATCTTAGAATCCATTCCTGAACAGATTTATTTGTGATGGCGGTATACCATTTTGTAGGCGGCGTATCAAGGAAGCCTTTCAAGAATTTAGTAAGAGAGAATTTGCAAGTTTCCTAGACATTTATAGAGTTTTTACTTCCGTTGGAAGTAAGTTGGGAGTTGGTTCCATAACGTGGCTGCTTTTACCGAGTTCTCAGTCGTTAAAGCACTGTGCGTTTTTATTAAATGCAGGCACAAGTGGCCTTTAGGCCGTGCCGGGAGTTTCCTTGAACTGCATGTTGATGTCGTTTGGAGCTATAGTCCATTCATCATCTTCCATGTATGATGATGATGTATCAATCTCGAGTCTCAGTGTCTCTACAGTGAGAGAAGACCCAGTTTCTGCAGGCGTTCCCAGTTATCAAGATTCTGGCAGCCTCCGACGAGTGTAGTGTGAACATAGGGAAGTGCGACTTATCTCTGAATACGCTTAGGACCCATGATGTCATCGTCCTTACTGTTTTAGCCATTTGCTGTATGTGGGGAGACCAGGAACAGTCATTTGACAAGAGAATCCCTATGTCCCTCATTGTTTCGGCTGGTTCAATGATTTCTCCGTTTAATAAATTGTAATTTGTAGCAGGAGTATTGACTTGTAAAGGGCCGTTATCTCAGCATTAAGGAATTGTCCAGGCTGTAGTTCAGTATCTCAGATTTGGCCTCGTTAAGTTGCAAGAGGCCATTCTTAACAGCTAGGTCAATGATTTTTCCAGCGAGCCTGGAATCGTCAGAAAATTACTTTACCAGAGCGGTAACCGCTGTACGGGTTGATCGTCAATGTATAGAAGTTGGTGTACTATTTCACATAAATTACTCATTTGGGCGATAAGGTACTCAAATTTTAATTATTTTTTTGTGTTTTTATACTTAATGCTAGATTTTTTATTTGATTGTACATAGGTGTAGTTTTTAGCAAAACATCCTTAAAACAGCTATAATCCATCAACAAAACGATGATCAAAAAAAGTGATGCTTGGTTTCTGATGAAATGTTTGCCAAACAGATAGATCTTTGATTTCTGATTGTTATTATTTGAAGTTTAACGTCTTTTGACGATTTCAATTTGGTCGTTTTAATTTATGAATGAAAGCGATGAAGAAAAAAATGTTTCCAATTCAAGAGGTGACAATATTCGATCAATTTCAAAAAATATTCTTTGGCGTCCTCTTGTGACCAAAACACCAAATATTTGTTTTCCTTTTCTTTTTTGAACAGACATTTGATCGAAAGGCAAGAATGAACAAGTAAAGACATTGAAATCTATAGAAAAGATTGATCTGTAAAATAAGAATGAATTATGCTTTCGAAAATGAATTATAAAACTGTTTACGTACACTTTATAATATTCCGCAAGATTTCTGTTGTAAAATTTGTAATCGTTTTTCCCCAATATATCTTCTTACTGCAATATATTGTAATATGGGTGTGCAAGTCAAGCGAAGGATAGGTCCGAACTTGAAAGTTCTTTTAAACTAGTTGCTTTAACGTTAAACTTCTAATAAAAGCTAGAGTTATTTGTGTTATATATCTTCTCGAATATGAGGTAAACCGCATTAAAGCAAAGCCCCTTGAAGGGATGATGAAGTTACATAGTTACCGGGAGGTATCGAAGTAAAACTTCTATCGAAAACCCTGCAGGTTAAACTTAGTTAAACTTAGTGGCCCATGCCCAATCCTTGAAACTGATAGGTTCTTCAACAAGGAAACATACGCTGATTTCTTGCTGTAACAATATCTCACCAGGAACTTAACTACGCTTCATTTCTGACGTATTCACCTGATTTATTGAACACAAATTAATATCTCCTCTCCATGTAAAAGAATTTTGACTGACATTGCGATGTGAATTTTGTTGTCATTCTCACTTCACGGTTATAATATAGTGTCTCGGTCTTACAAAATGATAGTCTTTTGATAGATGTTTTGAGTGCATTTATTTAAATTCCAGACATTTTCATTGGGCGACTTTATGATTCGACAAATTAAAGGTCGAACTCTTCAAGAATCGAGAGCATTGCGCACATGACATTCCCTAATGTGTGAGATATTGACAATTATCGTAGCAGTTTATCCTACAAGGACCTCACTGCCTGTAACTTGTTAAACTTACTGAGATGTCACGATGTCGGGATGCTGAAATGTAACATATAAATGTGTTGAGTAAATTTATGGGCAAAGGCCTGAAAAGATTTTGAAAATAGCGGGGCCTAACTCCATGGCCTGACTACTGACTACCTCGCTAGACACTGGACAGCTGGGTGTACCTTAACTGTTATTTTTTTGTCAAGCTATTTTAGGCTATCGTGGTCTGTAGTAATAAAATTATTACCTGGGGACATCAGGCTTTTGTAAAGCAATTGTTGTAGATATGGCGGAATGACAGGCTGGCACAGTAATATGATTAGTTAGAATATAAGTTGATAAACCTGTCTGACTTATTCCGTATCCACCCAAGATTTTTTGGCCCTAGTGTTTCCTCTTTGGTCGTTAGATAAACGTCATGGACACTGACAGTTTATAGGGCCGGAAGAAAAAAAGTCCGAAATAACTTAAAGATGAAAAATTGTGGCTATCCAAAATTTTATCCATTTTTATTTCTGCCCTCACTTTTGTCTGAAACTTCGAATCTACAGGGTGGCCCATAAGTGACTACCCACACGCAACCTCTTAATAACTCACGTAATTCGTCTCCAAATTGCACCAAAATTTCAGAGATTATAGATATGGGTCAAACTTAGATTTCCTGAAAGTTTCGTAAGCCACGCCCAATTACAGTGGGCGTGGCGTGACACTCCCTCTTTTTCACTATTGTCTTCATAAAATGAGAACGCTTTAAGCTAAGAACTCAAAATTTTTTGCACACATTTGGCTTGATAATTGAAAACTTTTCCAAAAGTTTCAAGTTCATTGGTTAAAATATGGCTAAGTTATGACCATTTCAAAACTCATCGGATACGTGATCCGAGCACTCAGTCAGTGATCTCGTCACTTGGTTAATGGCCTGTTTGGCTCACATGCACCGCTTGATTGGTTGCAGCCTGCTTTTCCTGAAAAGGTCACGATCTGGTGCGCCATCAGTTCTTATGGGCCACCCTGTAGTATAAAATGTTCAAATAAGTTTGCCGAAATTATTAAATACCCGAAGAATGACGTTGTCATCAAGCGTTGAAGTCCTGAATTAAACTGTTACACTTCTGAATTGGCCCCGGATTCGCAGGTTTCTTGAATATCGCAAGTGAGGAAACAGACAGGGCTGAAAAACAAAAGGCCAATAATTTTTACGCCCGGAAAACTTAAGGCCAATAAGATGTTCAATTGTTGATGTTCTAAGAAATCATAAGAATCCACAGAATCATTTGAAATAAAATTCGTATTTTCTATAATCATCTGCTACATACTGGCTTCATGATGGAATAGTGGGAGGAATTAGGAAATGCGTACGTGAATCCCTGACTAAATTATTCCTCGTACGTGGATCTACCAACTACTAACAGTTTAGTAATACTGATGTGGCTTCTGTGAAGACTGTGATGAAGGAGGGCCGTTGTTCGTTACAGGCAAAAAGATTATGTTCAGCGATGATCGGTACGAAGCATCATAATTCATACTGTGTTCCAAAGAGGCTTCACTGCATATGCAGTTCTTCAAATGTACTCATATTTCCAGAAAGCTTGACTATCTAATTTCCTCACTAAGTAGAGAAAATTAGCTAAAAAGTTAAACTCCAGAGAGAAGCTCTTATAGTAGACAGTCAACGACTGTTACCCGACTTCTGGAAACCAAATGGGGAATAGACCATGTGGCTTCTCAGAGGGAAAGTTACGATATTGACCACGCCATACACTTTTATATCATCACCGTTCGTCGATGAATTCTATCCCGTCTAACTTACAAAAGCTCAGTTCTAAATTTAAAGTTCAAAAGCATGCCGCCTATTGTAAATATTTTTAAAGTTTCTATATATTGCCCTAGTAAAACAGGCCCTGCTCGGGACAATATGCAATATAGTAGGCATAGCCTAACTGACGAGATTTGAACTTTGACCAACTGATCTTATTTAAAAAGGTCTATCATGATCTTATAGTAAGCCTTACATTCAATTTCATTGATAAGTGATAAACTAGATCAATAAGTCTTATCAAGTTTGAACTTAATCAATATAATCTGATTTGAATTTTAACCGAGAATATTTTGCCGGAAGTATTGTGTGAAGGTGGGGCCGGCCACGTGCACGCTCACGCCCACGGCCCACGTGCACACCTTTACTGCGACTCGAACTCGAAATAATTCCGATAGTAAGAAAATTGCTGCTTTTATCGGCCGAATGTGTTTATATTTCAAGTTGTTAGAACACTGCGAAAAAATAAACACACATGAAATACAAACTTTTTAGTATTTATTTATAATTCAATTTGAAATAGGTACTATAGTAAAACCCCGATTTACCGCGGAGTTTCGGGAAAGGAAACAGCCGCGGTAAATCTAGGTTTGCGAAAAATCGGGGTTTTGTTTTTGTACATTATGTATGTCAAGCCCTATTTGGGGAAAGGAAATAGCCGCTGTAAATCGGGGTTTACGGTAAATTGAGGCTAGGTTTTACTGTATTAAATAAATTTCACTAATTTTTATACTTATATATATAAATGGAATGTGGCTGCCGTCCCATTATTGACCGCTAAATATGACCTAATGATCAAATGGAAACTAAAGTCATATCTCTCTCGCTGCTTTGATATTAATATTATTATTTGTTGCTAGTACGTGTGGCAGAAAGAAAATAGCCGATCACACCTTTATTTACGGCTTGAAAATTGTAACAAGTTCAAAATTCCAATGACGCTCAAACCAAGGTCATTAGTGCATTTCATTTAAATCCCTACGTGAACTTTATCTCACGTTGCTACCTCAACTATTCTTCCCGCGTGACATGCCAGGTAACGTCTGGCAATGTTGACCGACGAAAATTTTCTTTTTAATAAGTTCAGAATCTAAAATTACTTATAGTACATAATCTATCCAACTATTGCATGTTGATCGGTGGGTCCACTCAATGTTAAATGACTGAATTACTTTTCAAGATCTGATGGTCGGACATCACTATTCACTAAGTTCCAAGCACCATTTATTTGACCCTCTCTTTGACGCTTGGAGACTCATACAAAGTTTCAGCTATAATTTCAAGTTTGGGTTAAAACGTACACAGAAATCGAGAAATCACATACTTTTAAGTTAAACTTTCCTGATGACCTTTCTGTGACAGGTCTCCAAATTTTCACAGCTAGTTGGTGAGTGTTAATAACAGGTGAAGGACAAGAAAGGGCGGGAAAGTTATAATAAAACACCTGTCCACGCTGCATGCACAAATTGCACATATAATAGTCATACGCGTCTGTCAATAGACCATTAACCTAGGAGTCTAGCAATACGTAAATATATTAGCGCTGTAATCCAGTTATTATCCGTAAATGGAGATATCAGCCCTGCAATGATATAAGTTGTAAGCAAAGATATCAGGGTTACCCGTAAATGGGAATACAAGTTTAGAAGTTTAAACTTGATAGGAGTTAGAGATAAGCCCAAAGGAGGGTCAATTTTTGTGTACCAAATCATATATAAATTGAAGTTTAGCCTCTCCTGATGTTCATTTCACAATTGCAGGTTGCACTATAGTTTGTTTCTGTTTATTGGATTTCCGAGATGTTCCCTCCACCATCTTGCCGGATGATTAGAGCGCAATAAATATTTGGATTCTGGAATCTTAGGTTTTTTCTTATAACACTGTGGACGTGATATCTATAATAAGTACGATAGCTATAATAGTATAATAAGTAGGGTACAGTTTGAGTAATAGTGCGTGGTGCAACAATGTTAATATTATCCTGCAGCCTCACTGCTTGTTTTGATATATTTCATGTCTATGAAATTTCAACGCATATCTTTGCTGCTATTATATTGGTGCGTTTAGCCATCCGCACAGACTTTGTAAACACATATGTTTCAGGCAGATTTTCAGGCAGATTTACAGTATGTCCGTTATCCAGAAATTTAAAAAACTCTTGTCATTAGCTGCTGACTATTATACTTGTAAACAATGTCTTAACAGTAACTCTTTACACAAAACGCTGCCAAATATAATCAAAGATTATTTGAGATTATTGATATTGCCCTCAGCTAGAATAGAGATCA